CAGGGGTGCATGAATAGGCTTGTTCTAAAAGTAACACTGCAGTTCTACACAGTAAATTCAACTAAACTGAGTTGGACATACTTTCAAATAAATATGTGGACAATACAGTTTCACAGTACTTAAATCTAAATTATAATTCTTAGTAATTTTTTAAGTCACAGTTCACAGTAATAAACAAAGGCAGGTCATGTACAGAAAAACTAAAACTAAAACAAAAGCTTTATATGTTTCACGGAATTAATATGAAAACCATTTGTGTAATGTACAATTACTTCCCTGCCGCTGAAATTGTTATATATTGCCTTTCATGCTTGCCCACAATGTCTAACTTAACTTTCACCAATAATTCCTAAGAATAGGTGATGCATGGCAGTTACTGTATTGATTTTAATCAAAATACCACTTTTGCGCTAAAAAAATAATCAAAACATTGAACAAATAATTTATCCTACTAAAGGAAAGGTAAATAAATGTTTTTAGACATTGGATTAACCAGAATTACAAGATATAAATAGAGGAACCTATTAATATTAATATAGCTCAATATAGTAGTAATGCCAACTTTTCCAACATGTTTGTTTGGGGATCTGTAAATTATGCAGATGAATTTGGGCATCGTGTAGTTTTTGATTGTTTTTAACTGTTTTAATGTAATGGATAAATTATACTGAATGTTTAGCTTTTGTTTTAATTATGTATGCTGCCCAGAGTCACATGCACGTGACATTGGTTGGCTATATAAATTCAATAAATAAATAAATAAATAAATAAATAAATAAATAAATAAGACATTTTCATACAATGTATTATAATTTAACAAAATAATTTCAAATTAGAATTTTTGAAACACGGTCTGGGACATACAGCACTTTAAGAAAAGATTGATCAAAAGAGATGCTGATATGATTTCTTTTTGAATTAACCTTTTGATTGATGTTATAATTTCATTTTCTGAACCAAGAAACAGGAAAATTCACCAGAATAAAAATAAAGACTGAAATTTTATACAATTAATACTGTGCCCTTTTGCATAATATAGTGAGATTTGATCTTTGTGCAGAAATATATAGATGTCAATGGAGTTACCCTCAGTAAAGTCCTTATAAGAGTGTATTCTCTGTGTGTAGAAAAATAAAAAGGTGCTTTTTTTCCTGAAATTTTTATCACAAATAAAAATGTAGGTATCTAAGCAGCCCTTTCTAAGATGTTGCTTCTCCTTCTGCTTTTATTGCATAAAGATCATCATAAGAAGTATTAGTACAATGCAATCTTGACCTTGTGTCCTCAAAAAATGAGGATATAGGATTCCAGCATTATGATGCAATCTTTTGTATGCTTACTTACAAGTAAGCTGCACTTTACTCAGTATGGCATATTATCATTTATATGTGCAATATTTCAGCCTTAGGAGACCATGGAAAGACTACACTCCATTGAGGTCAATGGAGTTACCTCTGAAGTGGCATGTATTCTTTTCCAATGAATGTGCCTGATGTTCGTCTTACTTCTGCACTGTTGCAGTCAGGTTGTCTACCCTTATGGGAGCATGTGTGTGCTTTGGTGATACAGTGCAGGTAGTCCCTAAGTTAATAATGCCTGGGTTACAGATGATCCATAGTTAAGAACAGAGCCTCTTGTAGCAAAATTTGAGTTAAATACACAATGATTTGAGTATACACAATGGTTTGAATTAATTACCCAATACTCTTGAGAGTCCCCTGGACTGCTAGGAGGTCAAACCAGT